CCTGGGAGGGAGGGGGAGACTCCAAGTGGCTGCGGCGCGGGCGCTGCTTCTCCCCCTCCCTCCCAGGCTCTCAAGTCTGGGAGGGAGAGAGGGGGAGCAGCGGCGCGCAAAACGGCCGCTCGGGATCTCCCCCTCCCTCCCAGGTTTGAGAGCCTGGGAGGGAGGGGGAGACTCCGAGTGGCCGCGGCGCGGGTGCCGCTTCTCCCCCTCCCTCCCAGGCAGCAGCAGCGGAGGTGAGCTAGGGTGGCCGCGGCACATTTTTAGGGGCGGCATTCTGGCGCCGGCCATGCCGCCCCTAAAAATGTGCCGCCCCAAGCACCAGCTTGTTTTGCTGGTGCCTAGAGCCGCCCCTGTCCGTCTATGATGCTTATAGCCAGATTTTCAGAAGTCAGCAGTGTACAACATGCTGAGCTATTTTGCAAACCTGGCCACTTACTTTGCTGTCTAAATGGGAGCTGAGCTCTTTAAAAAGCTAGTGTTTAGTGCTGGGGTGATGGCTCTGGAGTCTGTCTTTACTCAGATCAGGGACAGCACAAGCAGCAGCAGTGCAGGCTTCACTCCCACCCACATGATAGGCTTCGGCTGGATTAAGGCAAACCTGGGCCCCAGGCAAAGTAACAATTAGGGTCACCTCACCACTGCAGAGGGCTCCCTTCCAAACCTAACTTGCTCTTGTTGCTCCTCTTTACGAAGGGACCTCCTCATTCCCTATAGGGTCACGGGGGACTGGCAGTCCCACAGAGCCCATTTCTTGGCGGGCGTGGGGGAAGGCCTTCAACCTCACAAATCCCTATGCTCTGGGAAAACTCTTTCACCCCCATGCAAGGACTACTGCTTGGATGGTGGAGTAGCTATCTAAAGGTTTTCTGCTTGACTGAGGAAAGCCCTCACAGAGCTGTCTGGATGGTGGAGGGCCCCTCTCCCAATATTGACTGAAGGAGGCCTGATTCCCCACCTCCCCACTCCAAACCCATCTTTCTTGTCCCGCAAAAAGATCAGGTAGTGGCAAAGTGGTACCAAGCTGCCCCCTTGTCATTCTTCCCCCAAGGTACTTGCCACGTGTGGGAGACTTTCACTGGGAGCAGGGCAGTCAGGAGTCCTCCTCTTCTCCCCTTTTGGAATGGCAGCTTCCAATGGAGGACGTCACTTAAACGGAAGGAGTTCCATTCTCCTGGATTCAAAATGTGAACCGCTTGTTAGGAAGGCATAAAACTAGGGAGGAAAGGAGTAAGTTACAGCTTCATGCTGGAGGTGGAGGATGGTTAACACCTCACATAATCAGGTCCTAAAAGAAGAAGGGGAATGAAATTAAAGACTGAAAAATGTCTGCGTTATTTGTAAATATCTGTCCAACAAGAAAAATAAAGGGAGTTTGTCCAGTGAGGAAGCAAAGACGACCTTGTAAAATAGCTGTTTACAAAGCACACATTAGAACACTTGGATCATTTTAACACATAAACACAATTACCCTCTCCTGCTAATAGGTTTCCTAGGGCGTCAAGGTAACTAGCTAAGAACTTAAACCACTGAGAATTATTTTTCAGTTATCAGTTATCAATGAGAAGTGCAGAGGTGATTGATAAATAGAATAATGCACCTTGAACCAACAACCCACATTTGTATCTAACTCCACATAATAATAAGGAACTAGCTAATAAGCTGAGCCCCGACAAAGAGGGGGAGCACTGCAGATGTGGTAAGTCCTTCATGCCAGTTCCACTGGGCCCAGACAACCTGTCTGCCAGTTAGAAAGGGATTTGATCTGATCTCTACTGCCTCAAACAGAGGACTGTAGCATGGTGCCTGCAGGATGAAGAAAAGAATCTAAATCCCACTGGCTTTCAATGAGGCACACGTCTAAGTGCCTAAGTCACTTAGGTGCTTTTGAAAGTTTTACCCTTGGAGCTAAATATATTGCTGGCAGATATCGAAGCTCTGTCCAATTATTTAGTTCACATAGACAAACAAGAAAATCTTGTACCAGCAACATTTACGTAAACTTGGTAAATGTTTGATATGGTCATAGTGCAACAGCACCTTATTGGATTGGCCTGAATTACCCCCACAGGATAGAAGTACCTCCCCTGGGAAGAGAATTCATCATCATCTCCTGTTCCTGATGTTTTTCTCCTAGGGTGGGATTTTTATTAAGCATCTTTGCCTTCCAGTGGGACTTGTTCTCCTACGTCCTTTGAAAATCCTTCCCCAAAGATTTTTCCAAACTTCCCTTCACTCAATTTAAAAATTGTCTTTATTATATAAATCAGTACCTGACCCTGTACTGCGTAAAAGAGTTTGTTGTTGAGCAATGTTTGCTCATACTACACTCTTACACCATAATTCAGTGATTTGAGAGACTGTGTAAAAATAATTTGTGCCCTAGCATTTTTACTTCTCTGGAGCCACAGAAATATTGACAAGGTAGACATGATGGAAGGAAAGATTTAAAAGCCTAACTTGAATCAGACTAATGGTTTTGTGGTCAGGAACAAAGTAAGTATTCTCAGGAAACTATACCTAGACTCTCTTGCATGACAAATACAGAGAAATGTTAATAGGCAGAGAGATTATGCGTTTTAGAGACCATCTTAATTGCATGATCTCAAAAGCAAAGGCAAACCCAACCTAGATCTATTTCTTACCAACAAGGAGTCAGTTGCTGTACAACATTTAACGTAGACTGAGGAATGGGTTTATATTCATGCAACATTCAACATAGTCTAAGGAATGGGTTATCTAGGGAGGTGGTGGAATCTTAGAGTTTTGACAAAGCCCTGGCTGGGATGATTTAGTTGGGGTTGGTCCTGCTTTGAGCAGAGGGTTGGACTAGATGACCTCCTGAGATCTCTTCCAACCTTAATCTTCTATGAGATGTGAGTGTGAGACTGCAAGAATGTAGTTTTGTAGGATTTAATAAATCTAGTGAATATAGTACAGCCTCAAAGCCACTTTAAATTAAGGTGCAAGATATTTCAATTCCTCTGAAAGGGTTGCCTCTTCCTCCCCATCATGGTTTATACCACTGTAGTATTAGACTCCCATCCATTTCCTTGGATAGAACTAGATATGTTCATGGAGGATAGGTCCATCAATGGCTATTAGCCACCATGGGCAGGGATGGTGTCCCTAGCCAACAACTCAGGCTCAACCTGGCTAAAAACAGAGCTCTTACTCTTCCCCACAAGCCTTTCCCACGACCTCCTTTCTTGATCACTGCCACTCTGGCCTGTAACCTGGGTGTTATCTTCAATTAAGACTTCTCTAGGTCTTCACATCCAGGCTATGTCTAAGTATTGCAGACTTTTTCTGCACAACAGCTCTAAGATACAGCCTTTCCTATCCATCAACAGAGCTAGAATTCTTGTCCAGGTTCTCATAATCTCACGTTGGCTACTGCAACATCTTTCTCGCTGGCCTTGACAAATGCAATCTTGTTCCACTGATTGCAGCAGCATTCTGAATGGCTAAGATATTTTCCCTAGTCCATCACTTTGACCATGTCACCCCCTCTCTTTGCATCCTTTCACTGACTCTCTCTTCTCTATCATTTCAAACATAAGCTACTCATGTTCTTTCAAGGCCCTATCCCCATTCTATCTATTCTCTCAGTCACAGTATTGAAAAGTTAACCCCTGCTTCAAATCAGCCCACGTCAGCCTCCATCGCCCATTTGTTCAATTCTCAAGCAAGCATCTCTGTGCTTTCTCCCATGCAGCTCCTCACACTTGCAAGTTCTCCACATCCACAAAACAAATTCCTCCTCAAAAACTCTACTTTGCTGTGAGACCTACAACAACAAAACAAACAAACAAACAAAAACTTGAGAGGCTGAGACCACTGCCTCTCATGCTGACCAATACGGTCTGTTTCCTTGTACTCCATCTGTCTGCATCCACCTGTTAGCTCTTGGTTTATATTTAGACTGTAAGCTCTTCGGGGCAGGACCTGACTTTTCCCCCCTGTGTTTTTACAGTACCTAGACACAATTGGATCCTGGTCCGTAACAGGACTCCTAGGTGGCACCATCACCAGTACTTGTTCCCCTTATCCCATCATCTGGAGTTGGGTCAAGCATCTGCCATCTTAATCTGCCCAAAAGCAGCACTAAGGTCCACCTGCTTACCATCTTCTTTGATGCTATCAATCCATTGCTTCTTCCGCTTTACTCAGGGTCTCTCTTTCCTACCGCCCTCTCCTGCCATGCTATCTTCATTATGTCTTCTACATTCATGCTCCATATATGTCCAACTCAGCCAAGTTAATAGGACAATACTGATCAGGGAAGAAATCAATATATGGGAAAGGAAATTGGCATATGATGAATTTGTGGTAAATGCTACTAGTAACACAATTCTTAGAATTAGGAAAGGTTCCACAGTTGATTAAGGATAGACATATTTTAAATTGATACTGTCCAAACTGAATTTAAAGACATGCAGGAGAGAGATCCAAATGTCAGACTAAGTGTCAAAAGCGTTTGGTGCAATTAGAAACCTAGGATCTGTGACACTACCTCCTACTCATGACATGTTATTTAAGTAAAACATGCGGCATCTCAAAATC